TGGCTAGTGATCATTGTCTCTTCTTGAATAACTTCAATATCTTGACATTTACTACTGTCTTTACCTTCATTAAAACTGCACGAGTTTGAGGTCTGGCTACAGAGAGAAGGCCCTGGGCCAGTTCCTGGGCTGACTCGAACATTCTGGGACTGCCCATGATCCTGACTGGCTAGAAGACTAAGGGTGGGGAGGTCATTATGGCAGTTGGCATGACAAGGCCCTGCTGGGAATCAAGCGCTCTCTCTCTCTCCCTTCCTCCCCGGTCCTCAAAATAATAAACTTAAGATAAATAAGACTGGGCCAGCCAGGTGAAATGGTAGTTAAGGAAGCTGGATCCCACATGGCCAAGTGTGTGGTTCAAGTCCCAGAACCGGCAGCTTGAGAGACACCCCAGGCATGTCAAAATGTTTCTTTTTTTCTTTTTGGAGAGGTTTTTGCTATAGGATGCATGCACTTGTCAGAAAGACAGAGAGAAACAGAGAGACAGAAAGCGAGAAATCACCCCCCAGGGGGGATGGCCACGCCGCAATCCCTTTTCCTCCATTCTCCTTTCGGGATCTTAGGCACGCACACACACGCACCTGGCGTGAGTTTAAGCACCGGGTCCAAGATTTGAACTACGGTCAACTAGGGAGTCCAGCAACATAGCTATTGTGCCAACCGTTGGTCCACGTTCTCTGTTTCTTTAGCCATTCCTCCTTGACATCATGTGGATTCCTGGCATCACCTTGTACCTCTGGATGAGCTCAGATTGTCAATGTGCCTCTCTAAATTTGGTCCAGTGGCCTGATCAAGCCGAGTAGAACCAAACCATCAGAGCCTAAGGGCCCTTAGGTTTTCTTCACTACCCACCTCAACACGCTATTGACTCACAGAAAACTCACAACTTACAAAACCCTGTACATGTTATTCTGGAGGTGAGGTAGTGTTAATTTCATTATATATGAATACATGAATACATAATAATAGAGATAAAAATCTTCATTCAGGAAACTACAGTCAAGGCCAAAGTCTTTTTTTTTTTCCAAGCAAAACTATCCATCTTTATTAAAGATACTTTTCATAAACAGTCATAGTATTTCAGGCAGGACATGGGCAGACAACCATTAACAGTATACAACAACTTTCAAACTCCCTTCTTCAATGGACTACCAAAATCAGAAAGCCACTATAAAACCCAATGAAGTCTTCATTTGATGCTCTCAACAGGGAAAGTTTAGAGTGAGGGTGGACATTTCACATTTAGCATGTTGTTTAACAACTTTTCACGAGCCGACCCTGACTTTCGGGAAATGAAAATGGCAGAATATCAACCTGAAGATCCAACAATACAGAAAAGGAACTGCTGCTCTTTTGAAGGACGCCATTGCAATGTCATTGGAAAGTCCAGATTGCCTGACACAGAGACATTCTATTAGTGACAAATACCCCTTCCTCAAAAAACAATGAAGTGTTCTGTGTGCTAACAACATAGCTTAAAAAAAAAGGTAAAACAAAATTCTGCATTTTTATAAAACTTGATAAAAAATAGTATTTCAAACTGTGCAGTCACCAGAAGCACAGTTATCAAAAATGCACACACTTCACTCGGCATCTCCAGCACCTTCAGCTTTCTGTGCCTGGTCTGTGTTGGCATCTCCGTTTTCTGCAGGGTTGTTCCCATCCTTGCCAGCGTCAGCTTTTCCCTTTTTTCCTTTGGGTACCTTCTCTCCCTTCTTTGCAGGGGCCTTTTTAGGCGTGGGCTCTGGCTTTGGAGGAGCAGGTTTTGCAGACAACCTTGCAGATCTTCTCTGTGGTTCGTCCTTCACCTTGGCTTTATCTCCTTTAGCCTCCCCTTCAGCCTTTCTCTTGGGCATGGTGACAATGACGGCGGGACGTAGGCGCTGGACGCGGGGGATGCAGCGGCGTGCAGGCTTTGGTCGGTCCGGGGGTCGCTCTCGCCTCTTCTTCTTCACACTGCTCCAAGGCCAAAGTCTTCTTAACCATAATCTCCAGTCCTGGTCCTTTTCCTCCAGAGATAAATACTGCTGCACTTTGGTTATGCATCCTTCCAGACTTTTCTCTATGTATTCACATGGGTATATATTTATTATGTAGAAATATAAACCTTCTCTCTCTCTCTCTCTCTCTCTCTGTCCTTCTCTGGTCAAATTAATTTAAGAAAAGAGAAAGAGAGAGAGAAGAGAGAGAAAGAAAGAAAGTTAAAATAATAATTTTAATCTTGTTTATTTATTCCATGAGTGAGAGAGAGAGAGACAGAAAGGGAGATAACACGCTGAACAGGGTCTTGATGCCGTGGTCCACCACCAGCCTCTAGCCAGCCCCAGATCCTTAGATTCCATGGACAGTAACCTCAGTAACAGTCACCACACCCCCATTTACCTTTGTCTTTTGTTCTTTGGCCCCAACCTCCTTGCCACTCCTCAGTTCTAGATCAGTCTAACCTATGCGCTTATTTGGCCACTTGAGAAATGTTTATCGAGGGCCTATTGCTGTGCCAACTGTTTCCTAGATACTGAAGATAAAGACATGTTTTCTCCACTCAGAGGTGGTGGCTGCTGTGTGGGAGCTCAGAGTTAATCCTCAGTCAGAACCGGTACCAACCTGTGGTGACCAGACTTAGGTCAGCATTCCACAGGGGGAGCCAGATGCCTCGGTAATTCTCACAGCTGCTCTCCAAAAGCACCTCTCAGCAGTCCCAGCCTCTGCCCTTTGTAGACCACCTTGCAGCCAAAAGGAAAATAGACAGCGGAGTATCAAAATCCCAGTTCCTCCCTTTGACCTCTAAACTGAGCTGAGAGAGCACCCATCTGTGTCTTCCCACTTGGCTAAAGAAGAGGCTTTCCTGGGGCCAGCAGGTGGCATGGTGGTTGAGGTGTTAGACTCCCACATGACGAGCAATGGTTCAAGTCCCAGGCCTGGTAGCTTGCTTTCTTACTTTCCCCCTCTCTCTCCATGTCTCTGACTGGTCAGATTTTAAAATAACAATAATAGGGACCAGAAAATGGCAGATTGGTTATGTCGCTAGACTCCCACATACTACTGTTTGAGTCCTGGACCTGGTGACGTAAAACTCATGGAGCAGGAGGAGGCAGGGAAAGTGATGTGGTGGTTAAGGGTGCTCCCAAACCTGGTGGCTTGCTTTCTCATTTTCTCTCTTTGTCTCTCTCTGGTCAAAATTAAATAAATAAAGCTAAATAAAATAATTTTTAAAAGATTATAAAAAACACAAAACAAAACAAAAAAGATAAAAAAGACAAAAAGCCTCATGCCGAGCACGTGAGCATGCCTACCTAAGATCCCGAGAGCAGAATGGAGGGAAAGGGATTGTGGCGTGGCCATCCTCCCCGGCAGGTGACTTCTTGCTTTCTCTCTGTCTCTGTCTCTCTGGCAAGTGCATGTGCCCTATAGCAAAAATCTCTCAAAGTAATTATAATGATAATAAATAAAATTTTTAAAAAGAGAGAAGAGGCTCTCCTTACAAAGGGTTTACTTTAAGCCTTTGCCTTCCTGTGTCCTGTGGAAATTTTTTTTTTAGGTTTTGCCATAGGGCACATGCAATCACTGGAGAGAGACAGAGGCAAAAGTAAGAAATCACCCTTGGGGGGATGGCCACGCCACATTCCCTTCTCCTCCACTCTTTCTTTTTCTTAGAACGATTTATTTAATTTTATTTATTATTATTTTCCAGTCTCCTACGAGGCATACACAGTCACCAGAGAGAGAAAGTGAGAAAGCAAGCCACCAGATCCAGGACTTAACGGCGGTTGGCTATTTGAGAGTCCAGTGCCTTCAGCACCACACCACTTGCTGGACCACCTTCTCCACTCTTCTTTGGGGGTTGTGGGCACGTACACACACACACACACACACACACACACTCAACGTAATTCTCAAGCCGCCAGGTCCGGGACTGTGCAGTCAGCCATGTAAGATCCAGTGCCTTAACCACCACGCCACTAGCTGGCCCTCTCTGGAGAGCTTGGGCACATTCTAGCAATCAATCACTCAGTCAGAAAATAAATACATAAGGAGATTAGGACACAGACGTGGACAGAGACCCTGTGAAGACACAGGGGGATAAAACAGCCATCTTTGGGACCAGCAGATAGCGTAATGGTTACATCATTGGACTCCCACATAGTCAACTACAGTTCAAGTCCCAGATCCAGCCGCTTAAAAATCACTCTGGGTGCACGTGCACGCATGCCCAAAATCCCGAGAGGAGAATGAAGGAGAAGGGATTGCGTCGTGGCTATCCTCCCCCTCTCCAGGGGTGATTTCTTGCTGTCTCTTTGGTGAGTGCACATGCCTGATAGCAAAAAAGTCTCTAAAGAAAAAAAGAAAAAGAGCCACCTATGGGAGGCCTTTGAAGAAAATAACCTCCGAAACCTTGATCTTGGATTTCTAGCTTCCAGAATGGTGAGGAAACACATTTGTGTTGTTTAAGCCACTCAAGCTGTGGGGTTTTGTTATAGCAACAGTCGTGCACTGATACATAGAAGAATTCTCTCTGCTGTTTTGATTATTTCTCTTTTCCTGTCTGCCCCTTCAGTATTGGCAAATGTTTGGTTCAATTGTGCACTGATACATAGAAGATTTCTCTCTGCTGTTTTGATGATTTCTCTTTTCCTGTCTCCCCCTTCAGTATTGGCAAATGTTTGGTTCAATATGGCCCTCCTTCTTCCCTTTAAGTAGACTTTCTGAATGAGAAAGGGCTCTAAAATTAGACCTGAATTCTGGCCCAGTCCCAGTACACAGTGGTAACACAACACTCTGCAACACTAAAAGCCATGCAGAGGATTAGGGTTCAATTCCTGGGCTCATTTTTACGCACAGGGGGTGCATGTGTGTGCCTGTGATCCTGACAGTCTGAGAAGGCTGGGAGAGAGAGGACTATGGCATGACACCCTGTTGAATGTGCTTGTCTCTCTCTCATACACACGCACTCTCATGAAAGAAAGAAAATTTTAAAAATAAAAATGACTGGGGCTGGCAGGTGGCATGGTGGTTAAGGGTGCTGGATTCCCACATAGCTGCCCGCAGTTCAAGTCCCAGACCTGGCGACTGGCTTTCTCACTTTCTCTCTCTCTCTCTCACTCTGTCCTTCTCTGGTCAAATTAAAATAAATAAATACAGTTAAATAGTAAAAATAAATAAAGAAGTAAGTAAATAAAAATGACTATAAATAAGTTATTGAAGGGCCAGCAGGTGGCATGGTGTTTAAAGTGCTGGATTCCTGGGACCGGCAGAGGGCGTAATGGTTACATTGCTGGACTCCCACGTAGTTGACCACGATTTAAGTCCTGGACCTAGAGACTTAAAACATACCAGGTGCATGTGCATGCATGCCTAGAGACTTAAAACATACTGGGTGCATGTGCATGCATGCCCAAAATCCTGAGAGGAGACTAGAGAAGAAGGGATTGTGGTGCAGCCAACCCCTGGGGGGTGATTTGTCATTTAGTATTTCTCTCTCTAGTGAGTGTGCATGCCTTATAGCAAAAATCTCTCTAAAATAAATAATAAAGAGAGGGGCTGAATAATTAAGAGAGATGATAGAGATAAGAGCAAAATGTTTTTTAAAATAATTATTTTATTTAACTTTATTTATTTCTTTATTTTTAATTTGACCAGAGAGAGACAGAGAGAAAAATAAAGCAAGCAGTCAGGTCCAGGATTTGAACTGTGGTCGGCCATGTGAGAGTCCAGCACCCTTAACCACCATGCTACCTGCCAGCCCTAAGCAAAAATGTTTTTAGCTAGAAGAGGGAGGAAGGCAACATGAGATATTGAGTACACCCAATTTTCAGGATCCAGAGGCTAGAAAACAAGACTATTAGATTACATCTTAGTTCCTACGTGGGGACCTAAATCTTCTCTACTTTGAAAGAAATGATGTAAATGAATTCTCTGAAACAAAGGTACATCTTCAGGTGGGGCGGAAATGTGCTCACAGTTTGAGGGAGTTTCAAAGGCTTTAATATTTGCCTAGGAGAAACATTGGCACAGTAAGATGTCAACAATGGCTCTTTTTCTTTTTTTTTCCTTCTTAAATTTGGACTGTGGCCAATACATTTACCCTAAGAATAACAGCCATTGGTGCGGAGCATGGACCAGTCCAGAAGTTCCTCTGACTCTGCCTAACACCAAAGACCAGGAGCACCCACAGCGCAGAGATACCCCGAGGACAGACCCTCCCAGGAGGCTCGTGTTCATTCTTGCCTCCCTGCTACACAGAACCCTCCCCTACCGGTGAGAGCAGTGGTTCTCCAAGGCAATCCCCAGGAGTCTGAAAGGCCGCGCGAGTTGACCTTACATACTGCGGATGCCTGCTTTATGGCATGTCGTGCTGGTCTGTCACCCTTAGTCATCAAGCCCATAGACTTTGCCCCACAGTATCTCTAAACGTGTCTTTTCCTTGTTCACTATCACCACCCAGCTGCATGTCACCATTGCTTCCTTTTTTTTTTAAAGAATTACTTAATTTACTTAATTCCATTTGTTATTATTATTATTTTTAAATTTGATCAGAGAGAGAGAGAGAGAAGGGGAAAGCGAGAAAGCAAGCTGCCAGGTCCAAGACTCTAACCACAGTCGACCATGTGGGAGTCCAGTGCCCCGATCACCACGCCACTTGCTGTCCCCACCACTATTATTTCTTTTTCTATTCCTTATTTCCTTTATTGTATTTCTTTATTTAATTTTTAAAATTTGCTAAAGGGCATGTGCTCTCACCAGAGAGACAGAAAGAGAAAGAAGGAAAGTGAGCAAGCAAGCCACCAGACTCAAGTCTCAAACTGCAGTTGGCCATGTGGGAGTCCAGCACCTTAACCACCACGCCACCTGCGGACTCACCTTTGTTTCTTGACTATCATATTGTAGTGGCCTCTAATTAATTTATTTGTCTCCAATTCTTTCTCTTTTCATCTTTTTTTTTTATTTTCCCAGTTTGTTATGGGGTATATGTGATCACCAGAGAGAGACAGAAAGAGGGAAAGTGAGAAAGTACCCCTGGGGCGGGGGGGAGGGGCTGGCTAAACGCAATCCCTTCTCTATCCCTACTTAGAGATTTTGGGTGTGTGTGCACATGTGCCTGGTGTGTTCTTCAAGCCACCAGGTATGGGACTTAAACCCCCAGTCAGCCATGTGGGATCCAGCTGGTCAAAAAAAAAAAAAAGTAAATAAATAAATGAAGTTAAATAAAATAATTCTCTTAAAAAAGAAAGAAAGAAAGAAACCAGATCCCACATGGCAGCATCAGCTTGAACCCCCAGCAGTCAGCCTGGAAGATACCAAGCAGGAAGTGTCCAAGATCCAATGGCCTGGGGGCTAGAAGAAGAGGTCATGTTCTGACCAGACATAGTAGAGTTTCTCTCTCTCACTCGCACACATATGTATAGGCATGCCCTATCATGAATAAAGAAAAAATTGGGGCCAGGGGGTGGCATGGCTGTTAAGGCGGCTGGATCCCACATGTCTAACTGCGTGGTCTCAGTCCCAAACCTCGTGGCCTGAGAAACACACTGGGCATTATAACCTTGACGAGAATGGTTTCAGTGGCTTTGTGGGGAAAAAGCGAATTTGGAGTGGGTTTAAGAGAGAAACAGGAGGGGCCAGCAGGTGGCATGGTGGTTAAGGCACTGGACGCTCCCACATGGCCAACCAGGGTTTGTATCCCAGACCTGGTGGCTTACTTTCTCACTTTCTCTCTGTCTCTGAATGAATGAATGAATGAATACTATATCTTAAAAAAAAAAAAAAAAAAAAAAAAAAGGGAGAGAGAGAGAGAAACAGGAAGTGAGGAGGTTAAAGATTTTTGACATAAAAGGTAGCACCAAAGAATTTAGTTTGGGGGTTGGCAGGTGGCATGGTGGTTAAGGCTCTGGATTGCCACGTGGCCAACTCAGTTCAAGTCCTGAATGTGGCACTGTGAAAAATCACACTGGGCATATGTGCATGTATGCCCAAAACCCCAACAAGAGAAGGTGGTGAATGCAGCGTAGTCATCCCTCATGGGGGCTTGATTTCTCACTTTCCTGTCTCTGTCTCTCTCCAGATAGCACACACTACCCTATAGCAAATTAAAAATTAAAAAGAGAGTGTTTCTATAAGAGAAATCATGTCAAACGCTAAGAGGTCAAGTAAAAAAAAGGACTGCAAATTGACCATTGAGACTTGACCACATGAAGGTCATTATAACCTTGTCAAGAAGGGTTTCAGCGGAGTGGCAGGAATGAAAGCTAGTTTGGAGTGGGTTCAAGAAAGAAACAGGAAGTAAGGTTGAAGCTTGTTGCCTTAAGATAGATTTTTGCTATAGGGTGAGTGCGTTTGCCAGAGAGACAGAAAGAAATTATCCCCTTGGAGGGATGGCTACGCCACAATCCCTTCTCCATTCTCCTCCAGGGACCTTAGGCATGCATGCACATGTGCCCCGTGTGAGTTTCAACCCACTGAATCTGGGATTCAAACAGCAGTTTGCCATATGGGAGTCCAGTGACGTAATCACTACGCCATCTGCTGGTCCCAAGCTTGAAGGTCTTTTTTTATATATAAAATACCAGCGGCAGCATGGGGACCAGCAGATGGTATAATGGTTACATCGCTGGAATCCCACGTAGTCGACTGTGGTTTGAGTCCCAGAAACGCCAGGCGCTTGTGCACGTGTGCCTAATTTCCCAAGAGGAGAATGAAGGAGAAGGGTTGTGGCATGGCCCTCCCTTCCACAGGTGCTTTCTTGTTTTCTGTCTCTCTCTTTCTCTCTGGTGAGTGCATGCACCCTATAGCAAAAATCTCTCTCTTAAAAAAAAATAATAATACAATAAAAAATAAAAGGTAGCATCATAGAATTTAGGTTTGGACCAGCTGGTGGTGTCATACTTAAGGCAGCTGGATCCCACATGACAGACGGTGCAGTTTGAGTCTTGGACCTGGCAGCCTCAAAACATACCAGTCACATGTGTGTGTGCCAAAACTCCAAAATGAAGAAGGGGTGTGGCAAGGCCATCTCCCCTAGGGGGTGGGGTGCTTTCAGTTTCTCTCTTTCTCCAGTGAAAGCACACACCCTATAGCAAAGTTAAAAAGAACATTTTAGGTCCTTTTTAAGAATTTGAGGGGCCAGCAGTAGCGTC